GGCTGTTCACGCATGAATGTTCATTTTTAAATAGCACCTCTAAATTTCATTATAAGAAACAATTATTTTAATGGTTTGATTTTGCTATTCTCCAATTCAAGGCGTTTTTCTCTCTCAATATACTTTGAGTAGTGAGATCCGATTTTTATTATCTCCTGTGTAAACTTCCGTATAGTGGCGAACTAGGGGATGAATACGGGTTTGCGCACTTTCCGGTAACCGATTTCAATAAAACTTGGCAAATAGATGTAATTCCACGTACTTTTGAGGTCGGTTTTTTTAGTACTCTGTACTGAGATAAACATTCGTTTTGTGTACCGTTTAGGTTCTCGGGTTTCTCTCAGAGAAAAGTTTAAGGAGGCAGGTATCATGACTGTGGCATCACAGTACATTTACTCAAATATTTTGTATGCCCGTAAAAATATACATAATTTCATTAAGAAAGAAGTTATCCATAATACCTTAAAACTAAGTCCAAACTCATAGTACCACGACTGAGGTAAACGATTCTTTTATGGGGAACTGTTTTTACAACAAGATTCCGGGGAATATATTAAGATTATCATTTCCTAAGTTTAAAACTTACATTAAAAGTATTTTAATTGAAAAGTCGTATTACAAAACTGAAGAGTATGTTTTTGACAAAGAAGTATGGAAAGACAACAAAAGTCAAAATTCAACACAACTATGATTCAAAGTGTATTCCATAGCATTTAAGTTTATACGAATAGAGCAATCCTTAGAGTTTCTTGCTGGTTCTTCTCAGGGAGGTCGGCGTAGTGAACGAGCAGTAGCTTAAAAAATGACGTTTTCAAGCATTGACTTACAATTATATGGACGTCGGGTCCGCGCTAAAAAGTGTCCGAACGTATAGGGCGTTAAAATCGTATACAGAGCGTCATTCACGCTTTAGTCTTCGTTTGTTCGACTGACAGCGAAGCAAGCAAAATTAGACAGTACTGCGATGACATTACAATTTAAATTCAACGTTTTAGCTTTTTCATATTCCTTTACATGTCACTACGTTTAAATAGGTTGACTTGGGACATTTTTTTCGTGGTTTTTGTATTAGACCCGTCGTCCATTTATTTGTAAGTCAATGGTTTCAAGTGTAAAAATTTTACCTACGGAATAAATTGTTATTTGACTTTGACATTACCGAGTTTCGGTTTTTTAGTAAGGGTGCTGGTGAAATTACAGGCATATAAGACTTTGCAACTTATGTCTCAGGGTGACGCGCACTGGCAGTGCAGATATTTTAGATTTAAATATGTAAGAGGCATTGCAACTGTTATGGATAGGCGTGTCGTTCACCACCAGGCTTACGACTTGTTCGTCCCGTCACTGGGTGTCGTAAAAAAATTACCAATTAGCCGCGATCTGTGGCCACATTCCTGTCAGCTACGAACCTCGTGACAGAGAGTAAATAGTAAAATTGTTGTCTAAAAGAAATCAGAAAGTTAGAAATTAGTGATGTTTAAAGCAAATAACTATCATGGACAAAGATGAACACGTTATTCAGTTCCAAAAATATATAAACGACATTGATAGGCTAAGGAATGACACAAGATTAAATAAATATGCAATGTAGGTTAAAGGCGTACCTCTTAAAGTAATTTTCATATTTTATTCAGTAAATACAATGAATACTATGTAAGGTTATAAAATACATAGTATAACCGCTCACGCGATACATGCAGCCGTAGACGCATACCACACCTAGAGGTGCCGGTGTTGATTTTATACCGATTTATCGGATATAGAAGTTACAACAGGTAAATAACTAATATTAATTGATATTTCGGTAACTACTCTAGCAAACGATAAAGTTTTTAATGCCTGGATCTGTCATTTAAAAAAATAAATAACTTCAAAAATACGTCACGACAATCGTGTGTGTTATTGTTTGGGCTGGTGATTTCGGTGTTTATTCATTGAAAACATACCGTAAGTAGCGTTTTTTAAGTTTACCCTGAATATAAATATTTATAAGCTATACTTTAAGGAGTAATTTCATGATAAACGTTAGAACCACTCAAACGGAATATTATCATATTTATCCAAGTACACCAAAAATTTCATTAGTGCTTTTTAAGTGCAGGATTTGCGGTGTATTACTGCATTTTATTTGAGATGTTTTTGTTTGTAGTACTGAGGGTATTTATTTAGCAATGCAGAATAATAATTTTTATTTATAAAAATTTGTATTTAAACTGAATGCTTTTCTAATTTGCGAAACCAAATAGCCGCCATTTTGCGGTAGGAAGAGCGCATCGCGTGAGCGGATAAAGCAGGTATACTTAAGTAAGAGTGCACAGCAATTTAGCGACTTTTGGTAAATAAGTCACCTGCTATATTTTTCTTCAAATTAATTTAAAAGTTAGTTAATTGGGTGAAGGTATCGTTGCTAGGAATGAACATTGATGTTGCTCGGCTTCGTTCTTGACAAAAATTTGCATCCAATGTACATAACGTATAAGGAGTCCGTATAAAATTTTATTCCTCTGTTGCCGTATTTTTTTATACGTAAAAGCAAAATATTTCATTTTTAGGAGCACCTACTTGTATCGTAATATTATACGATTGTGAGTTTTTCCGTTCAATTCCCCTGAGATTTACCCTCGTTTAGCGGCTATTGCCAATGGGCAGTCGATCGAAAACAAGCGGAGTTTGCTGTAGTGGACTTCGTTTCCTATAACCAAAAGCGTCCCAATAAAGCGGAAAAATGATCAAAAGTCAATAAGTCAATTCTCAGTGAACCCGTGATCATTAAGCGTGTAATGATTGCTCTGAAATATTGTGAGAACAATAAAAAATAACGTGGTTAGACACTTATATGTAGTAAAAAGCGTTGAGAGAATAACACAAAAATTACCGGAACAATACTTGCTTTGCGTAAACATTTTATCACAGAATTCTATGCATAGCATTGACTTACAAATAAATGGACGACGCGACGGGTCTAATACGAAAACCACGAAAAAAATGTCCCAAGTCAACCTATTTAAACGTAGTGACATTTCAAGGAATATGAAAAAGCTAAAACGTTGAATTTAAATTGTAATGTCCTCGCAGTATTGTCTAATTTTGCTTGCTTCGCTGTCAGTCGAACAAACGAAGACTAGAGCGTGAATCTCTGTATACGATTTTAACGCCCTATAAGTTCGGACACTTTTTAGCGCGGACCCGACGTCCATATAATTGTAAGTCAATGATGCATAGCATAGTATGTAATTGATTGGCCATAGAATCCGTGTAATATTTGCCATAGTTAACTTTAAACAACTACATATATAACCTTCAGGAATATCACGCAGAGGGTGCGGTGGAATTGCACGATTTAATTCTGCCTTCCCATTTTCATAACTAGGGGACTAGACGTAGTATTGGGTTCCATCGCTATGTTATGGATATACCAAGGATTCGCGTGCATTAAGCGTTAAGCTTCCACATTTTTATATGGAATGGCTATGGAGGGAATTCCCTGCTTGTAGATTTATTCCCTGAACACTAGAACTTGGGCCTTTTCAAGGCGAGTGTGATTATTTCAGTGTGCATGCTCCTTCGTTAACCTTATCGTCACTTTCAATTAGGTGACATGAATGTCGAAGCATTTTGTTGCATTGTTCATGGTCGTTTTCAAAATAATATTATAGCGCGCATTTTATGAATATGCGGGAAAGTTTTAAGGTGAATCATAGAGATGACGTATTTTATCGTGATATGCCAAACCATCATCAAAATATCATCGTTACAAAACCGTTAAAAACTATTGCAGTCAGGCTGGGATAATGTTAATGTTCTCTTTATAAAATTCTTTGAATGGACACGATTTTGGTAACGAAAATTCCATCAAACAACACTTACAGTCTTACCACAAAAACGTTTAAGCAGTTGTTCACCAGATGTTTAGAAAAAGTTGTACCATAAATTCGCGCCTAACCATTGTTTTGGGATGGACAGCGGTTGGACATTGTTTAAATTTAAACCACTGCCAGATGTTAGTTTAACGCGTGTTTTAGCCATTGCTACAGATCACCAATACTCAAGGGTCATTGCAAGCTACCGTTTACTGTTGTGTTTTATTTCTCTTTTCGTTTATTTGTGGTGATTATTATGGATGTCTTAAATTTTATTGATTCTATTGACACGGGCGACGTGGATTATATGGATATGTTTCGAGACAGAATACATCGTGAGCGAATTAATCCATTTGAGTATTACGATGAAAAGAAATTTCGGACAAGGTATAGTTCAATCTTCGGACCATAACATAGTGATTGTAAAGAAAGAAAGAAAGTGAACTTGAAAGAAAGTTTCGATTTTGTAGAATATAGACGTCCACGAATGCAGAGTTGACAGGTGCCTTCTACATTAATAGGAAATATTGCAAGAAGAAATTTCATACAATAACATTTTTGATATAACAAATTTATTAATAAAATTTGGACAAAATTATGCCATTTTTTCATCATTCAACAATAATATTTCAAATTCCTTTTTCTCCAACTTTTTTTTCTTTATTTCTTTTTCGATCATCAATACTTCAGTTAGTAACTTGTGTCTTACATCCTAGTGACACAATTCTTTAGTTTGGTAGGTACTTTATTTTCAATTTGTACTCCTTCTCCCATGATTTCGGTGTTTTCCGTTCT